TGTGCGGAAAGAAGTGTGAGGAAAAGAAAAGAAAAAAAAAGGTAGGGGGGAAGGGAGGAACGGGGAGGGAGGGGGAAGGAAGGGCCCATCACCATCTTCATCTGTGCGCTGACTTCCCAAGGTCTTCCAAGAGTTCTGATCTCCGGTTTTAAAGTCCTTTACTTCATATGTCTAGTTGCTGACAGAGTCTCTTCCGCACCTTCCTTTTAAAAGTTCGTCAGGTCAATTATTATGGAAATTTCTTTTGATTTTAGGTATTCCTTAAAGCCTGTCCAATCTGTTTTCTTTCTCACTCCATTTATTCTTTGGGATAAATTGTCCATTTGTATTATATCAAAAGCTTTTGTAATCCAGTCTTCCTGGGTTGGTATTTCTTTTAGCTTCCATTTGTTTGCAATAACAATTCTGGCCGCTGTACTCAGTAGGAATAATATTTTGTCTTGGTTTTTATTCATTTTAGTCTCTTTATGTATACCTAATAAATATGTTTCTGGAGCTTGTGGGAAAGTTATTTTAAGTATTTTTTGGGTGGCCCTATGAAAATTTTTTGATTTTTACACATGTCCACCAATGGTGAAAGAAAGTACCTGTCTTCCTTTCACACTTCCAACATTTGTCCGAAATGAATTGGTTTTTTTTGAATTTAGCTATTTTTTCTGGTGTATAGTGCCAGCGGTAAAACATTTTGAACCAATTTTCCTTAATGTCGCTGGCTACAGTGTAAAATGGTGTCAATTTGTCCAGTAGATTTTGAGTTATGATGTCACTCAAAATGAACAGAGCATATATATATATATATATATATATATATATATATATATATATAATGTAATGCAATATAATACTAATACTAATAATGATATTATAATTATATACTTATATTACATGTAATATTACAAATAATATTACAATATAATGGTATAGTACAATATAGTAATATTTAATACTGATTTTGTACGATGCTAATAATATAATATTTTGTATGTATATATATCTTGTATTTATTTATTTATTTATTTTATTTATTTGCTTTATTTCTATACCGCATTTTTCAGCCCTTAACAGGCGACTCAATGCGGTTTACATGGTACAATTATCAAACAGTGTCAGTGCAATTAAAACATAACAATGCAACAAACAGGATCAACAGCATCAATCCACAACAGTTAACAATCAACAAGACAGATCAACAAAACAGACATAACATAACGCCTCAGTTGAAATCAGATCCGTTCTCATAATCCTTGTGCCATTCCTATGTTCCATTTACCGTCTTCCTATGATTGGTTGCACTGCTTAACCAAACGCTTGTTCATAAAGTCAGGTCTTAACCATTCTCCGAAACGTCAGCAGCGAAGGTGCCTGTCTGATGTCTGCCAGTAGGGCATTCCATAGCCGAGGGGCCACCACTGAGAAGGCCCTGTCTCTCGTCCCCGCCAAGCGCGCCTGTGACGCAGGCGGGATCGAGAGCAGGGCCTCCCCAGACGATCTTAATGTTCTGGTCGGTTCATAGGTGGAGATGCGTTCGGAGAGGTAAGCAGGGCCAGAACCGTTTAGGGCTTTATAGGCTAAAGCCAGCACCTTGAATTGTGCCCGGTAGCAGATTGGCAGCCAGTGGAGCTGGTTCAGCAGAGGAGTGGTATGCTCCCTGAGTGCCGCTCCCGTTAGCAACCTGGCTGCCGAGCGCTGGACCATCTGAAGCTTCCGGGCAGTCTTCAAGGGCAACCCCACGTAGAGCGCTCTGAGTAAGCTGCTCTGAGTCCCCTTCGGAGTGAGAAGGGTGGCAAGCCCTAAACGGTTCCGGCCCAAGCTACCTATCTGACCGCATCTCTGCCTATGAACCCACCAGGAGTTTGAGATCTTCCGGGGAGACCCTGCTCTCGATCCCGCCTGCTTCTCAAGCTCGGCTGGCGGGGACGAGAGATAGGGCCTTCTCGGTGGTGGCTCCTCGGCTGTGGAACGCCCTTCCTACGGACATTAGACTAGCACCATCTCTAATGGTATTCCGCAAAAAGGTGAAGACCTGGATGTTTGTGCAGGCGTTTGAGTAATTTAGTACAATCTGGTAATGGAACATAGGAATGGAACAATGGACGACGAATCTGGACTACGCTGGGATGATGAGAAGATTGGGTACGGTTGTTTTTTGTAATAATTGTGCATTGTAATTGCTTATTGGTAATTTATGGATAATGTGTTAAGTCAATTGTTATATGTTGTATGGAACCACTGCTGTTTCTACTGTTTTTACTGTTTGTGAACCGCTGTGAGTCGCCTTCGGGCTTGAGATACAGCGGTATATAAGCAAAGTAAATAAATAAATAAATAAGTAAATAAATAAAATAAAATAAATTACAGAGCCAGGGATACATGTGTTAAACATCAGTGTTGTTTAATACTTGGTCATAGGAAGTGGAGCCAAGCCCATTAATTTTACAAAAATGCATTTTCAGAAAAATACTTGCTATATTTAAGAACAGCCCTTGTTTGTTGTCTATTTTGGGATCCTAAAGGATAATCTTAGAAATCCCTCCTTAAACTACTGGACCCAGGATTCATACAGGATCCAGTTTGCTACCAGGCACAATTCAAAGTGCTGGCTTTACCCTTAAAAGTTCTGGCCAAGCTTACCTGTCTGAATGTATCTCTCCTTATGAACCATCTAGGACTATAAGATCATCTGGGGAGGGCCTGCTCTCGGTACTGCCTTCTTCGCAGATGCATCTGGCGGGGATGAGAGACATGGCCTTCTCAGTGGAACGCCCTCCCTAGGGATATTAGATCGGCCCCCTCCCTCCTGAAATTTTGTAAAAAAGTCGAAACCTGGCTCCTTGAGAAAGCTTTCACAAATACAGCATAACAGGTAAATATGGAACTACGGAACGACTTGATGATGCGACTGGAAAATGAGTTTGGTAAAGAGACGCTGATTATGTTTTTATTGGTTTTGTATGGTTTTTATATTATATGCTAAACGTTTTAAACTGTATTTTTCTGTCTGCTGGGGCATCAAATTGTTGCTGACTGTGAACCACTTTGAGTCGCCTTCGGGCTGAGAAGGGTGGGATACAAATACCATAAATAAATAAATACAATGCAGCCATGGTAGTTAAAGAGATTTTACAGAAGCACTGCGAGATGGAGCTGAAGTTGAGAAGAGAATGCCAATGACAACCCTTTAAAAGGGGACTTAAATATACTCTAAGGCAGTGGTTCTCAACCTGTGGATCCCCAGAAGTTTTGGCTTTCAACTCCCAGAAAATCTAAGAGCTGGTAAACTGGGAGTTGTAGGCCCAAACACCAGGCGACCCACAGATTGAGAACCACTGCTCTAAGGGGCCTTCCACACATCCATATAACCCAGAAAATCCCACAATATTTGCTTTGAACTGTGATATCTGAGTCTACACTACCATATGTTAATGTGGGATTTTACTCAGCTGTGTGGATGGGGCCACAGACTTCAAATCCCAGGCCTTCATAGCATAGTGTCGTGGCAGCTGAAGGAGTGGAGAAGAGCAAACCGCTGACCACCTGCTGCAATGCAACCTGAGCCCTGCCACATGCACAATGGAGGACCTTCTTGCGGCAACACCAGAGGCACTCCAAGTGGCCAGATACTGGTCAAAGGACATTTAATCAGCTACCAAGTTTGCAAAATTTGTGGGGTTTTTTATCTGTTTGTTTTGTTCTGTTAGAAATGTAATACAATGTTCTGGTTGCGGATGACACGATAAATAAATAAGCTGAAGGAGTATCAAACTGCTGTCTTCTATGTCGATGCTTCCTTAAAGCGAGACTGTTTTATTTAAATTGAGTTGATAAGAATACCATGTGAATCTTAATGTCTTTTGAATGATTGTGAATTTGAATATATTTTTGAACTCCAATGAAGTTTCAAGTCATTACGATGGAGGGAGCATGCAAGAAACCCCCAAGAAACAAGCACAGAAATGTATTTACTATACTTGTATACTGCCTTTCTCAGCCTATCGGCGACTCAAGGTGGTTTACAACAAGTCAGTACACATCAACATACAAATTAAACATTAAAAACAATATAAAACTGCAACAGAAACAATAAAAACAACATCATTAGTATCTCCTAGTTAAGAACATTGTCCAATTCCATTGTCAAGTGATTCCAATTCCTATGTCAGTTGTAAACTGTATTTGTAAACGCTTGCTCAAACAACCATGTCTACAAAACGGTAAGAGTGAGGACCGATCTAATCTCCTTAGGGAGGGTGTTCCATAGCCAAGGGGCCACCACTGAGAAGACCCTGTCTCTCATCCCTGCTAAACGTACTTGTGATGAAGGTGGGATCGAGAGCAGGGCCTCCACAGACGATCTTAAAATCCTAGATGGTTCATAAGGAGATACGTTCGGACAGGTAAGCTGGGCCAGAACCGTTTAGAGCTTTATAGGCTAAAGCCAGCACATTGAATTGTGCCCAGTAGCAGACTAGCAGCTAGTGGAGCTGGTGCAACAGAGGAGTTGTGTGCTCCCTGAGCACCGCTCCTGTTAACAATCTGGCTGCCGTCTATTGGACCATTTGAAGCTTCTGGACAGTCTTCAAAGGCAGCCCCACGTAGAGCGCATTGCAGTAGTCTATACGGGATGTAACCAGAGCATGGACTACCATGGCCAAGTTTAATGCCAAAATCGGTACTGACAAGGCCGATTAGGTATACGTATTTACACTGTGGAATGAATGCAGTTTGGCAGCACTTTAACTGCAATGGAATTGTGAGAGTCTCAGTTTGGTGCGGCCCCAGCCTTCTTTTTTGTGACAGAGAAAGCTCCAGAGCCTATAAAACACTTCCTTGATTCCATGGCCATGATCCACGGCAGTCAAAATGCTGTCAAACTTCATGAATCGAGGGCGAAGCCCGCCTCGGCTGAGATAAAACGAAAGCGACTTTTTCCTCGGTTTCCCAGCATCCCTTGCGATCGCTGGAGGCGCCTGCGCGTGGACGTCATCGGCGCGCGACGCGGCTCGAGTCTGTGTGTTGAGGGTTTCGCGCGTTGCGGCGTCGACGGCGGCCGAGAGGTCCCATCCACGCGTTTGGGGTTCATAGCCGAATCCCCGAGCCTCCCTTCGTATGACCTCGGAGGGCTTCGGGCCTACTTTCTCCCCGGCCGGCCATCCTTGGCGCTTGAGCAGCGGGGGCGATGCCAGAGTGGGAGGCCTCGACCCTCGCGGCCGCGCTGAAGCCGAGACCCGGAGCGAGGAGCCCACGAAGCGTGAGGATGCGGCTGTGAACACGCGCCTGCCTTCCCGAGCGACGCCCCTTTCAGGTCAGGCTTACGCTGCAGCTGGAGGATGAACGCTCTTTGACTGCCGTGGTGAAATGCTTCTGGAGTCCTGGGAGTTAGAGTGCCACAAGGCCTTCTCTGCCTCACCACACCACAGTTCCCAGGAAATACCCAAGATAGTGTAGCCCCCTGCAAAAGAGGCAAAACATACAACTCCTGAGTATATACTAAAGTATACTCCTGAATACACTGAATATATTGTATTTGTATGTTTATGTTTGTACTAGCTGTGCCCGCCACGCGTTGTTGTGACCAACCTTCCCTCCCTCTTTCTCTCCTTTCTTTCTCCTTCCTTCCTTCATTCCCTGTTTTTCTTTCCCTTCTTTTTTTTCCTTCTCTACCTGCTTCTTTCCTTGCTTCCTTTGCTCTTTGGTTCCATCCTTCCTTGTCACTTTCCTTCCTTCCCTCTGTCTTTCTTTCGTTCCTTCTCTCCTTCCATCCCTCTCTCTTTCCTTCCTTCTTTCACTTTATTTCCTTCTCTCCCTCCTTCCTTCTCTACCTTTCTTTCTTTCCTTTCTTCCCTCCTTCTTTCCCTCCTTCTCCTTCCTTCCTTCCCTCCCTCTTTCTGTGTATGTGTGTATACGGTCCCAGTCCAGCATATCTGTCCGAATGCATCTTCCTCTACGTCCCACCTCGGAGTTTGAGATCATCTGGGGAGGCCCTGCTCTCGACCCCACCGCTATCACAAGTGAGGTTGGTGGGGACGAGGAGCAGGGCCTTCTCAGTGGTGGCCCCTCACCTATGGATCTCACTCCCAGGGGAAATTAGGTCATCAACATCCCTCCTCTCCTTAAGGAGGAAATTAAAAACGTGGTTGTGGGACCAGGCCTTCGGGCAATCTGACAACTAGATAAAGACAATTGGACGACTACGACTGACAGGACTGACAAAGTGGAATTGGAATTTGGACTATGAGATGGCGAACGCTGAGCGTTAATTAGGTGAAATCGGTTTTATTGGTTTTATTGTTGCAGTGCAGAAATTGATTGTTAATTGTTTAATTGCTGCTATATTGTTTTTAATCTACTGTTATGTTGATGCCGGCATCGAATTGTGCCTTTGTAAGCCGCCCTGAGTCCCCCTCTGGGGTGAGAAGGGCGGGGTAGAAGTAACCGAAATAATAAATAAAATATATATGTATGTTTGTGTATATATGAGGCTATGCACATGCGTTGTAATTTTTTATTTTTGGGCTTTTAAGTCCCTTCTGCTGTGTTTTTCAGTGTTTTTATGAGTGATGGTCACTCATTGGCCTGATAGGTGTATTGTGTCCAAATTTGGTGTCAATTTGCCCAGTGGTGTTTGAGTTATGTCAATCCCACAAACAAACATTACCTTTTTAGTTATATAGATGGCATTGAATTATTGCCAGTTTGGAAGCCACTCCGAGTCCCCTTCAGGGCAAGATAGAATAGGGTAAAAATACAGTAAATAAATATAAATAAAAATGGCCAGGATTACTTTTAATATATATGTGTTATTGTGATAATTTTATGCTTATATTGTTTTGTTAATTTTATGTTTACGTTGTTTACTCTGTATGATTTTGTGAGGTTACTTGGAAACCACCCTGAGTCCCCTTGGGGACATAGAGCAGTATATAAATAAAGGTTTATTATTATTATTATTATTATTATTATTATTATTATTATAAATAAATAAAATAAAGCTACCCAATTTTAAGAGAAGTGGGGAAGGCATATTCTTCCATTCTGTTGTAATGTTTGTATATTTTAAATTGTATACTAATGCTTTTATGTCAAGGTGCTTTGAGTTCCCTTTGGGAGAGATAAAGCAGGGTACAAATAAATAAATATAATATAACAACAACAACAACAATAATAGCACTACAAGAATTAGGAACAGACTGCATTAATCCTAGAGTAGACCAGGTTTTGCAAATCCGGGCCCTCTGGATGTTTTGGACTTCAAGTCCCACCATTTCTAACAGCCTCAGGCCCTTTCCTTTTCCCCCCAGCCGCTTAAGCTTAGGAAAGGGCCCGAGGCTGTTAGGAATGGTGGGAGTTGAAGTCCAAAACAACCAGAGGGCCCAAGTTTGTCCATGTCTAGTGCAGTATATTATTCCAGAGGTTATTCTTATGTCTTTGTTGATATGTGACCTTAATCTGCTCCTCTCTCCTTCAGGGAAAAATATAGGCTGCATGTCTACACTGTAGGAGTAATGCAGTTTGACACTACTTTAACTGCCGTGACTCTCTACTATGGAATCCTGGAAATTGTAATTTGGTGGGAACTATTTGTAAAACTGCAACTTCCATGACTACAGCCTTGAGCCATGGCAGTTACAGTGGTGTCAGCCTGCATTCAATCCAATGTGGATATGCACCCCTTGAAAAACTACAACTCCCACAATTCCCTAGACTTGAGCCAGGGCAGTTTAAAAGTGGTGCCAAAGTGCATTCATTCTGGAGTATAGATACATCCGTAGTCTATCGTGTAGTGCTTTGAGCATCAGACTTTGATTCTGGGGCCCAGTGTTGGAATCCCTGCTTGGCTGTGAAACCAGATGATCTCAGACAAGTCACACACTTTCAGCCTCAGAAGAAATACTGCAACGGAAACCCTATGAACATTAGGAAGAACTTTCTAACTAAGAGTTGTTCAGCAGTGGACTGTGGTGGAGACTGCTTCTTTGGAGACTTTTAAACGGAGGCTGGATAGCCATCTGTCGGGGTGTTTTGAATGCGATTTTCCTGCTTCTTGGCAGGGAATTGGATTGGATGGCCCATGAGGTCTTTTCCAATTCTATAGGTTGGAAATGAATTGAAGGCACACAACAAACTAGTACCTATCTGTTCAAGGACACAATTACAATTCATCACATTGACTGACTGCATAATATGGTATTTCCAATGTATAAATCCCAGCAGAGGTTTGAAAATATTATCCTAAATCAGCTTTTTCTGACTTCTGTGTTCATATATATATTGGCTCACATACGTAATTCTATATCTGATTCAACCTGCCATGGCTTGAAAATATTTCTCCCTCTCTTCCCACCAAAAAGCAAACCTTTTCCCATTTTACATAAGGGATGCTGTTTACTATAGCATTGTATGTTACAGGACTTGAGCCTCCATGGATTTTGGTATCCATGGAAAATTCTGAAACCAAACCCTATTGGATGCTAAGCGCCCACTGTGCCTGGCTGTTGATTTATGGCAACACCATGAATTTTCTTTGGCAAGAAATACTCAGAGGTAGTTTTACCAGTTCCTTCTACTGAAATATAGCCTACAGCACCTGGAATTAATTGACAGTCTCCCATCCAAGCACTTATACTGATTACTAATCAGCACTGAATTTTAGTATTTGTAATTTAGTAAACTGAAGCCATTCAAATTTAGTCTGCTAGAGAGCAGACTATTTAGTACATTGAAGCCATTCAAATTTAGTCTGATCTAGTGCCTCTATGTCTTGAATCCTCCAAATGTTTCAGGCATCAGCTCCCGAAATCCGTGATCATTTCCCAAATTTACTTGGGTTTCTAGGCATTATACTACAAAACAACTCTATGACTGAAATCTGAGAACAAACTGCAGCACTAGAGCTCTCATTAAACTACAAATCTCAAGATTTCATAGGATGGTACCACTACTCCTTCTGAGACTGAGATTGTGTAACATGCCTTAACATCATCCAAGGGACTCTCATGGCTACACAGGGATTTGAACCCTGGTCTCCAGAGTTATACTCAAACCACAACATTATGCTGGTTCTTTTTTTATGTTGTATGTCTTAATCAGCCCAAAGGTACAAGAATATGTTACAACACATCACCAATGTCTATTTGTTGTCTCTAATGTTGCTCTTTGGAGCAACAAAGAACAGGAATAGCTTTTCTTTGGACCAAATGTTCAGCTCGTCTAGATTTTCCTTATACAATTTATTTAGCAGAATTCACACTGTCCTGCTAACCTTCCTCTGAATAATGGTTTGTCTATATTATTTTTCTTAAATAGAGGTTTTGAGGAGAGAAGGAGTAACGGGTTCAAAAATCAAGTCCACTCAGAAGCCTCCAAAGATGGAGTTCTCCCATTTAGCAATCCCACATTTGTACTGTTTTTGATGAACATCATACTTAGTGAGATGCAAATGTATATTAAACTTTTATGTCCTTTTTTGTTTTTTCATTCACAGTAAGTAATTTTGCAGTAAAGAGTGCCTGAACAAACCCAAAGGCTGTGCCCCTGAAGAATACAAGATGGACAAAAAGGCATTTGAGATGGTGCTTGATGAAATTAGGAAGGTAAGAGATGATTAAAGAAATAGCATGTTGTAAATACAGCACAGATATCACACTAAATATATAAGGGAGGCAGAATACCTCTTGCCTTTGGCAGGATGGCATAATGAAAAGTCTATTTAGAGATAGATTCTTTAGAAAACCATAGCCTAGAGTAACTGAAATACTCTTGTATAGATGTTTTTAAAAATTCTTTCGCACCCTAATTTTATTGTATCCATGGTATCTACAGGGGTTAAGTGCCAGGATCCCCTGATATACCAACACTCGTGGACGTTCAAGTCCAATTATATACAGTAGCATAGTAAAATAGTGCCCCTTATTTAACATGGCAGAATCAAGATTTGCCTTTTGGAAAAGAAAATTGGAATATAGAATACATCCCACAGATACAGAGGGACAGCAGCATATAGTTTCTGTTGTAGTTTGTTAGATAATGTATATTTGATAAATTTAGGGTGTATTTAATTTAACTTTTTATGAAACCTGTGATTCTTTTGATTTCATAAAGATGATATTGATCACACGTATTTGAGTATCCATTCTCTTTTGATATGTTACACATCACAATCCTAAAGTTATTTGTTTGATTGTAGGTTCCATTGAGTAACACTACTTACTTACTTGTAGTAATTTCTTAAAAGTCTTTATAAGATATATGAGAGTTCAAGCATTGGGCTATGACTCTGGAGATCAGGATGTTGAACTCTCACTCAACCATGGAAAGCCACTGGCTGACCTTCGGCATATCATCTAGTCTCAGCCTCAGAGGGAGGCAACGATAAATCCCTTCTGAACAAATATTACTAGGGAAACCCAGTGATAGTTTGCCTAAGCCCAAAAAGACTGGAAGGCAAACAACAGCTATTTTAAACTATTACCTTTACACATTTTATTAATGCATGATATGTTTTGATTTCTAATTGACTAATAGACTTAACTCATTCTTCCTGTAGTCCTGAAAGCTAAATTTCTATTTCTGTTTTGCTAACTACATCTTCTGTGTTTTGTAGGCTGTGCTGATGGAGTACAAATTAAAAGCAATTGATTATGTACACGGATACTTTTCTAGTGAACAGGTAATGATAAACAAAATACAATCTTTGCAGTGTGAAACTAAAACCAAATGTCACTGTGATGCAAAAAAATCAATTCAACATGTCTAATTGTTCTTCTCAAAATGGCAGGATAGTATGAGAGCCAGTGTAGTGTAGTGGTTAAAGTGGTGGACTAAGAGACACTGAGCTGAACACCTGTTTCAACTTGACCTATGTCTTAATGTTTTTTTGAAGTATGAAATGGGATGGAGAAGAGCAGTACATTCCTCACTGGAGGGAAAATGAGGTGTAAATGCAATAAATTGCTTAAAGTAGTTTCATTTTATCTACCTAAGATACTAGATACAAAGTAGGATACAAATATTTTGATTGATAAATACATAAGGGCATCATGACAGTGATAATACTGTACATACAATCAGTGTTTTGTATCATGGTGTAGATGTTTCCCCTGTGGTCAGTGTAAGAACCATAGTCGATAATAGATGTTTGTCAACTAAATAGCCCCGTCCTGTGCTCTGCACATTGTGGGATCAGATGCTATCCTCGTGAAAAAAATCACCTCACTCTTGGCACGAGCACAGGAGCTGTTATCAGCACTACAGTACTTGCCTTCAGATTTCCATTACAAAACTCTGATGGTGGTTTACAATCCAGGTCGTAAAACCTTGGGTCTGATTTTAATTGCAGAATTTTAATTACCTACACATCATGAATCTGTGGTAATCTTGCTAAACTAGTTCTTGACTGTTAAAATGACATAGAGAACACATTTTTCTCTCTCTCTCTCTCTTTTTTGTTTTTGTTTTTTGGAGAATATAACTTTATTTCTAGGGCAGTTTTTCCCAAACTCTGGTTTTCAATATAGTTTATATTTCAACTCCCAGAATCCTTGATCATTGTCCAAGGAAGTGGGGCTTGGGGGGTGGGGAGGGGTTGAAGTCCAGAACATCAGGAGGACTAGCACTTGGGGATTGCTGTTCTAGAGAATTCAGTAGCAGCAGATTAGTTGTTTATTTAAACCAAATATTTTATATATACAATGGAGTATAGAATTTCTTTTTGTTGCAGATTGTTGAATTACTGAGGTACTTCTCTTGGGCTGAACCACAATTAAAAGCAATGAAAGCATTACAGCATGTAAGTTTGTTTGATTTTGTATTGAAGCAGTAGTTTCATTTAATCACATTTCCCTGATTCCTTCTTCAATCCCAGTAGCAACATTTGACTTTCTTGCTTCTATCTAATTTGTGATTCATCTTTTTTCTAAGTACAGCATGCTTTAGTAGACAATGAAGCATTTGTTGGTGTGAACTTTGACCCATACTTCTGTTGCCACAAGCTTTAAACTATTTGTTTTGTAAACCTATGACATGTCCATGATAGGGACTGAGACAACTTATTTTTCTTTTGTTTCTAGAAAATGGTGGCTGTTTCTGCAGCAAAAGTGGTTAACATCCTCAACTGTTTCACTTTTAGCAAAGACAAACTTATAGCACTAGAGCTGTTGGCTTCGTAAGTATTGACTGTTGATTTGCTTTGCATGCATGCTGTCATAGTTAATTCTAGTGCAAGTCTTGTTGGTAGTTGGTTTGATGGAGGCTTAGCAGATTAAAACTTTCAACCCAATAAATTATAACAATCTGGTATGATCGTAACAATCTCAATTGGCTGTAGATATGCAGTGCTTATGGTAGATATAAGCGCCCCTCTCTCATCTCTGTGCTTATTGGCTTATTATGATTTTGCTGCTGATAAATCTTAATCGAGAAATACACTACTAAATGAAAATTCTGCTGATTGTTTGCTTGAAAACTATTTACTTTCTAAACCAAATGCTTCATTTTATAGCAATATTATTGATGCTCAGAATTACCGCCTTATTGAAGATCTCTTCCGAACTAGCATGTCTGAGAAGAAGAGATGTAGAAGAATTCTTGAACAGGTATTATGGCATGACTGGTCAGTTGGCTGGCTTCCCTTTGTTAAAACTGGTCTTTATAATTAATCTTAATTTACAAGCCTTATCCATATTGTCTTGTAATCAAGACTGTCCTTTCCATAATCCTGCTGAGGTGACATCTGTGGAATCAAATAATCTGAACTTTATATCCATGCTGCCATTTATGTATGCATCCATTCATTGTCTTCACCATCTTAATAATAATAGTAATAATAATAATAATAATAATAATAATAATAATAATAATAATAATAAACTAGTGATTGACTTGTGATTTTGTGATACAAAATCTATAATAAACTTTATTATTATTATTTTACTGACACAGTATGTCACAGCAAACGAGATCTATATGCTGGATTTCATATCACAAAAATCACAAGTCAAACACTTACCAAGCATCTAGGACTGTGTGATATATTTTCGAATGATGCGTGCAGATCCAAGTAAGGTGGCCTTTTACAGTTGACAGATCATGATTTTGTCAATATTTATTGTTTCCAAATACCAACTGAGGTCTTTTGGCACGGCACTCAGTGTGCCAGTCACCGTTGGGACCACCTGTACTGGTTTGTGCCAGAGCCTTTACAGTTGCGTTTTGAAGTCTTGATAACGGCTGAGTTTTTCCTGTTGTTTTTCCTCAATGCGACTGTCACCTGGTATGGCAACATCAATAATCCAAACTTTTTTCTTTTCCACAATTATGATGTCTGGTGTATTGTGCTCCCAAACTTTGGCAATCTGGATTCAAAAGTCCCACAGTATTTTTGCGTGTTCATTTTTTATTTTCCTTTGCAGGTTTATGATCCCACTAGTTTTTTACTACTTGCAGGTGGTACTTTTGACATAGGTTCCAATGAATCATTTGGGCCACAGAGTTGTGCATCTGTTTGTAGTCTGTCTGTGCGATTTTCTTGCAGCAGCTGAGGATATGATCAATGGTTTCATCACCTCCCTTGCACAGTCTGCATTTTGCTTCATCAACTGATTTTTCAATCCTGACCTTAATGGCATTTGTTCTGATGGCTTGCTCCTGGGCTGCAAGAATCAGGCCTTCTGTCTCCTTCAGTGTTCCATTTGTGAGCCATAACCAGGTCTTATTATTATTATTATTATTATTATTATAACTTTATTTGTACCCCGCTAGCATCTCCCAAGGGATTCGATGCGGCTTACAACAGGCCGGAGCCCAACACATACAACAATACAATACATAACAAATAAAACAATTAAAGCAGAAAAATAACAGTAGCAGTACAACAGGACATTATTAAAAACTGAGCCGGCCAGGAGTAGGGTACAGAATTAAAAGTACTGAAGTGTCGGAGGGATATAGGATTAAAATATAAATGCAGTGTGCGGTGAGGGTGATCTTGACTCTACTAAAGTGCTTCTGGGCTTTGGTAGTGGGGTTCCTAATCTGAGAAGGCACGTTGGAACAGCCAGGTTTTCAGGTTCTTTCTGAAAACCGCCAAGGTAGGGGCCTATCTGAGATCTTTCGGGAGGGCATTCCAGAAGCGGGGGGCCACCACAGAGAAGGCCCTGTCCCGCGTCCCCACCAAACGCGCCTGCGACGTGGGCGGGATCACGAGCAGGGCCTCTCCTGATGACCGGAGTGAGCGTGTGGGTTCGTAGACTGTGATGCGGTCTCGCAGGTAGGGTTGTCCCAAACCGTTCAGGGCTTTGTAGGTAAGCACCTGCACCTTAAATTAGGCTCGGAAAATAAACGGCAGCCAGTGGAGCTCCTTAAACAGGAGGGTTGACCTCTCTCTGTAATGGGCCCCCGTTAGCATCTTGGCTGCTGCCTGTTGGACCAATTGGAATTTCCGAGCTGTTTTCAAGGGCAGCCCCACGTAGAGCGCATTGCAGTAATCCAGTCTAGAGGTGACTAAGGCATGGACCACCCCGGCCAGATCAGCCTTCGCGAGGTACAGGCGCAGCTGGCGCACAAGTCTCAGTTGTGCAAAAGCCCTCCCAGCCACCGCCGACGCCTGAGCCTCAAGCGTGAGCGATGAGTCCAGGAGGACTCCCAAGCTGCGGACCTTATCAACTTTTCCTTCAATTTTGTCAAGGAACTGCCCATGCTTTGTTGTGCCAGCTGTTAGTTCTGGTTGTAGTGCAGTTTTCTTGTACTGATTTTTTTTCCTGCTGTGCTTTGAGAAATTTCCAATTACTGACTTCAATTAAAGCAGGTTCTTGGCTTTCCTTGACATATTCTGCCAGGGTGTGTTTTTCTTCTTCAGTTGCTTGTTTACTTGTAAAAGTCCTCTGCCACTAGAGGACTTTTACAAGTAAAACATAATAATTCACTAGGATGTAGTGAATTATTAATTATTATCATTATTATTATTATTTAGTGTACTCTATTTACTAATTCAGTATAAGTATACTTTTAATTGTCTTTCCATTTTTTACTTTTGTTGCAGGCATCCAAAGCAGGATGCAAAGCACCTCATGCTATGATATCTTCCTGTGGTATGATTCCTGGGAACCCCTATCCAAAGGGAAAGCCTAGCCGCATAAATGGGATTTTTCCGGTATGCATCCCTTTACTAAATCTGGAAATGTCAGAATATAAATTGAGCTGCTTTTGAAACATATGTTACTTTCCTTTAAATACAAAATTATACCCTTTTACAAATTTGTGTTACCTGTCTTTGCATCTTGTTCAGGGTATAGTATGGTCCTTACCAGTGAATCCTCTCTATTTTCCAGGGGTCTCCAGTCAAGAAGGAGAATGAAGATAATACTAACGAAGGCAAGGGAATAGCAGCTCGTATTCTTGGACCATCCAAACCAGTATGTCTCAGTAATGAAGCTGGAGCAATTTGAATTATTGCTTATGTTCTTTGAAACAGAATGGAATTATTTATAAGAAAAATATAAAATAGCACAAATATAATATTTGTTGCACTTGGTGAAAAAAATCAGTTACAAAGATCAAATACTGCCAGTACTGCCATAGGGGTGGTGTTTTGTTTTTTTTTTTTAAATCACTGGAAGGGGGGAAATACACAATACGAAAATAAGTGTTTCTAAAATGTATGAATCCAAGGATGGCAGTTGGGAAGTTACTTTTTCAGAGCTGGTGAAGGAATATATTAATCCAGGTTTTAGATAAGATTATTCTGTTCAGTAGGGATGAGGCAAACCAAGTGAAAAAGGAAACTGTAGAATGACTTGGGTAAGCTATGGGCACCAGTTTCCTGCCTCGGACTTTACTGTTCCATTCAGAGGGGAAAATAACAGCTGAAATCAGAAGTGACTGCAAATTCATTGTCAAATTTGCAAAAAGAAAATCCAGTTTTGTCTTTTATGTGAGCTGTGTCTTGTTTTAAAAGAGAATGACTTCTCTTGCAGGCCCCTAGCAGTGGTAATTTTCTTCTATTTAATCCCATCTTTTTCTAAATTGAGGGGTCAGAACAGGCAGACTTCTGCTATATGTGTAAACCACACGATCCCAGCCTCTGTAGTAGTTGCTATCCAGTTCAGCTCCAAAGGCTAGATCCCATAAGGAAGTGAGAGTCAGTGAAGGAATGTAAGAAATGAGCTGAAGCTGGCATCGTATCAAAGTCCAGCACATGTTGCTCTTGTATTCCTTGGTTACCTTTACTTTCTCAGCAGCTGGATGTGTATATGTTTTAACTTACTATTGTCCTTTTCGTTTAGGCTCCAGCGACCTACAATCCACATAAACCTGTTCCTTATCCTATCCCTCCTTGCCGACCACATGCAACCATTGCACCAAGTAAGCTTTGTTCCTGATTGTGCCCTGTGGTTATTTCTTCCTTGACCATACTTTTTCTGTCTACCTCCTGAGTAGACAGATAATGGCCACAGCTGCTATGTGTATGTTTTGTTTTTTTTTTATCTTAAACGTTTGGTGTTGACTTGGAACTGGTATCCATTGTATAATTTCTTTTCTTTGCCTGATTCCCCCAAACTTTTTATTCTGTTACTTGAATTGAAAGGTAGTTAATTTCAGTTCAGTTACTTGGATTAATTGAGCCATTCAACGATTCTTTAAAATCTGTTTTCTATTTATTTATTTATTTGGTTATTTATTTCATTTATATACCACTTTTCTTAGCCCTTGGGCGACTTTCTAATGTTAGCACGATGTAGTGTTTTTCATTTGAGCTATGTATTTTTGAGTTATCTAATTCTTATTCTTTCAATTAGAGAAAAAGTAAGTTATTCTGCATACATACTGATTATATCATGCTGTTTTTATACCCCTCCTAATCCTGTTCAGTGGCCTTGTATAATTAAAAGAAGTAAATCATATAAGACCAATAGAATTGTAAGTTAAAGGGGTTCTAGAACATTCATGTCCTACACAAAAAGGTAAAATAATATAGTGTCAGAATCTGACAAAACATCAATTGTGAAGGCATTTCATATAGTGTCTGCCACACCCAAGGGAGACCTTGCTCCTAGCAGCTATCCACCATTTCTCCTTTCGTTATAGTTGATTTAAGCATGTGGATGGCAATATGTACAAGACAGCGATCCTTAGTATTTCCACAAATTGCCGTTGTCTTAGATTTGCATGTATAATATCATTATGACATGATCTTTTTGTTTTCTGTTTCCCCTTCTAGGTGCTTACAATAATGCGGGTCTTGTTCCACTAGCTAATGTTGTTGCCCCTGGCTTGCCAGTTCCACCACCGTATACCTCTAGCCATGTAGGAACAGGTAAAGCAGGTATCCTCAGGAAATTGGGTCTGTTTTGGTTACACTCCAACATAACTGAGATATAGGAGAAGCTCTGTGGAGGGTTGGGACAGCAAGTAGGCTTAACAAGTTACCGCAAGGGTTCCCACCCTATCCACCAGTTTTGGTTTCAGCACTCTTGATGAAAGTAACCGTTTTATGCCTCTTGAGACTCTGTGAGAAGAAATGCATGCAAGCATTTTCAAATCTGGGAAATTTATGGAGTGTTTTGGAGTAATAAATAAAGCACAACACAAGAAATAGAAGCAACCAAAACAATTTAAAAATCTGCACCAAATTGGGTTTAAAATATGCATGAATTTAAACAAAAAAAACACTATATGTCATCTCAAGAACAGAAGTACAACGAAACAGTCTGAGAGATTTTCATATCCTCAGCTCCAGTGGCTTTGGATCATAAGAGGTAGGAAGTGAGTCCATATTGTGTTGTCTTTTCCTCACCAACTGCTGAGGCATAAAAATGACAAGAGAGAAGAAGGAATTATGACATTTACACTTATTTTAACATAAATAGTGTATCTGGTGTTAGTTTTTAAATAACTGTCTTTATCAGTAGTCTCAGACAATATTTTTTCTCTACCCTGCTAATTAATTATATCCTTTATGTAGAAAACGAAGAACTTTCAAATCAGACAAAATCTTCCCAAAGCCAAGGTAAGCTGTTCATTTGCAGAGAGAAGCTGTGTAATATAAAAAGATGCTTCCCAAGGAAATACATATTATTTATTTGTTGAATACTATTTTGTTTAATTTTTTAAATAAGGAATAACACCTTAAAGTATCAAAATGCAATTAATTTTTTTAGAATGTTTCTGACACTTGATCTCAATCACACTGGTTACAGTATGCCTTCAGGTTGTTTCTAACTTGTGGGGACCCTAAGATGAGTCTACTGCAGGCATGGACAAACTTCGGCCCTCCAGGTGTTTTGGATTTCAACTCGCACAATTCCTAACAGCCAATAAGCTGGCTGGGATTTCTAGGGATTGAAGTCCAAAACACCTGGAGGGCCAAAGTTTGCCCAAAACCTACCATAAGGTTTTCTTTGCAAGATTTATTCAGAGTGAGTTTGCCTTTGCCTCCCTCTGTGGCTGAGAGAATGTGACTTGCCCAAGGTTGCCCAGTAGGTTTCCATGGCCAAGTAGGGATTCGAGCCCTGGTCTCCAGACTCAAATCACTACACCAAAATAAGAGGTGTTTTGGTGTCATTATGGGAAGCTAAAAAGGACTAAAAGTCATTTTTAGCCTTCGAGGCTGGACAATAAATAATTGATATATTATAGTTTTCCTGACTGTGCTCTAAAAACCTATCCCAAGTAATGATTCAGTACGGGCTGTCCGCAAGTTACAAACATCTGACTTACGAACAACTCATGGATACAAATCGGCAGCTAGCTGGGGAGTGATGGTGCTAGCTTGCTCTTCCTCCCCAGCCAGGGCTCCTTTGCCCCTTGTTTCCTTCACACCAAGAGGAGCCTTGGCTGGGAAGGAACTGCGAGCTAGCACCATCACTCCTCAGTTGGCCGCCAGTTCATATCTATAAGTTATTCGTAAGTCGGATGTTTGTAACTCCTTCCAGTCTCCCTCACATTTTGCCAGAACCTTGACTTGGGGGAGGGAGACTGATCTTCTGAATAGGGGCACAGACAGCAAAACAAACATTAACCCTTCCCATATGCTATCAAAAACATTTTTGAAAAATCGGCACAAGTTACAATTTAAAAAAAACTTTATACTTCGCCACCATCTCCCATAGCGACTCAAGGCGGTTTACAAAATAGCACACAAAGATGCCATACATAAAATATATAATACATAAAACAAAATACACCAACATGAAAACAATAATACATTACATAAAGCAGGTATATAAATTGGATAGAGCAACCTCTATTAAAAATAGAATTAGTTAAAAGAACCGTGTAATCAATATAGCAGCCCAGCTGAATGCACAGAATGTAGCTATAAAGTGCTAAGTGATTGGCAATCAGTTCTGGTTACTGTCTAAACATTATTAAATGCTCACTGGAAAAAAATGTACCTGTTCAACTTAAGATCAAAAAATGTACAAATGCAAATTAAGATTAAACCTGCAGAACCTATCTTGTACATAACTTGGAGACTGCCTATAATAGGTTCTTAAAAGCCTCCCATCTTTACACAGGTAAATACATTCAAGGGGCATTGCAAATTATAGTATAAATAGTAATATTTTCAAATGAATGTTGGTCCCATAGATACTTGGAAACCAACTCAAACTCCAAATCAGAGTTATAACACAGTATGTTTTGTACTGTTTTTCCATAGTGGAGCAGAAAAATAATATTGTAGTTATGATCCCTGAACCGTTAATATTATTGAGGTGTGAGAATACTTTTCTTATTTCACCCCATTGCTTGAAAGCCTTTTGTACAAGAGGTCAAAAACTACTTTTGCTGTTTTGGATAACACTGAATTTCGTCTTATACTTAAAAGCAAACAGGAATTGCACCTCTTTCTCCCCACCCATGAAATTATACTAAAATCCTATTTCACTTGCAATCATATGCACGCTTATTTGAGAAAAAGCTCTCTGCAACTCAGCTGGACTTAATTCTGAGTGAATAGAATTGTGCCATTAAGCATGTTTATTTTCAGTTTAGCAAGTAAATGCAGTATAAACAAAGCGTATATCATATAAGCCAGGCCTCTTCAACCTGTGACCCTCCAGGTGTTTTGGACTTCAGCTCCCAGAATTCCTGACTATTGAACAAGCTGATTAGGGCTTCTGGGAGTTGAGGGTACACACAATTGGCCTGATATAAACTGTAATGCCATGCAGGATCAAAAAGATACACTGCCATGGTCGCTTTGTAGCAAATGTTAACTAGTCTTTTGGCACTAGTTATAAATGATCTCATACTGTCTCATAGTTGCAGATTGGACAGTCTCAGATATTTACTGCACTCATACACAAGTTTAAAATGGTTATTAATACTTGGTACAGTAGCACAGTTTAATACTTGGTACAGTAGCATAGTTGTGTATGCAGGGCTAATAGCTCCGTACAAATTAACCACCAGACACAAAGATATTAGGTAACAATAGCCACAACAGTAGCCACTGCCCTGGCCTAGTACCAGAACCCCTGGGAGGTCTTTGGGAGAGACTACCATGCCCGGTTCCTCCTGCCTCTCTCTTGTCACCAGGAGGCACTGCCAAAATGCCTGCTCTGATCCTATCTGCCTCAGGCAGGTCCCCTGAGTATAATCCTGTTTGAATTCTGATTGTCCTACAGTTTGAACTGATCAAACAAGACCAATCAAATCAGTGGCTATATATCATTTTGCATACCATGTTACTTTTTGCAAGTTGTGATAAGCATCTTTTATTTTGCTCTTGTGCCCCTTAGTTGCTGTGTAAACCGTGTTAGAATGCATTCATGTTGAATACAAGCATTTCTGCTGATTTCCAAGAATTCTTACCAGTTTTGTTTCTTTCCAGCTTTTGCTACACAATCGAACCATCTCTTTACACCTCATGGGTCTAACCCTGCAGCTTCTCCAGCCCCAACCCCGTCATCTGTTAAGGCAATAAGCCAGTCATCAGCACTTCCATCTCCAACAACGCCGGGGATAAGCATGTCCACCCCTGCCCTCCCTGGCTTCCCAGGGCAGGTGTCATCTGTCCATTCACCTCAGCCATTGACTCCCACTCCTTCTGTTATCAAATCCCACTCGCTGCCTAGTGTTCCTAATACATCTGTTCATTGTGCCACCCCCAATCCCCTCCCTGCAACTTTCTCTGGGCTGACCTCCATGCTTCCTGCTGCAACAGCTCCGCAAGGGGTGTCTACACCATGTGCCAACCCTGCATCTAACGAAAGTTTTACATCTGCTTCCTCGCCATTCGCCAGCCTGCCTTTTCCTGCATCATCTGTTGCTTCCCCTGCTAATAATTCCAATTCATTGTCATCTGCTTTTGCTGGCATGCCTTTGTCCCTGACGCCTACTCCTCAAGGAATAGCCAGTCCCCTTTCTTCTGCTATTGTTGGTTCTCCTGCCACTAGCCTATCCTGCCCACTTAACTTACCCAACCCACTCCTATCCGTCTTAAAGGGATTTTTGTCAGCCAGTGATGGCTCCATGATGAATTCAACTGCTCTGCCTTCTGCTGAGCTTGCTTCTTTATCTGGTCTTACCAGCCAGAATTCTGAAACTGCCTCTTCATTGAGTAACAAATGTTACACTCCAACTAGTACCTCTGTCCTTCCCACTCCAGGACTATCGATTTTTTCTGGACTCCCATCTCAACCTGGGGTAAGCAGTAGTGCAACCCCTCCAGCACAGTCCCCTTTGAACACACTGGCATCTTCCACCATGCCAGGCAACTGTGCCTCCTCAGGGGCTCTTTCCCATTGCCCAAGCCCTGCTAACCATGAACAGCAGGTCTCAGCCACCTCTGCGGCCACAGTCATTCCAGCTCTTGTGAAAACTGAGCCCATCAGCCCTACTCTTTCCAGTTTCAAAGGCCCAGCGCATTCTGCTGGGCCTTCTCATAGCACTTCAGGCTTATCAGCTCTTGGTCATGTGTATGCCTCTGCTACTTCATTGCCAGGCAGTTTACCTGGTTCCCTTAACCCAGCACTGTCTAGCCTCTCTTCTTTGAGTGGTCCTCTAAACAGCAGCCCTTCCATTGCTCCACATGGCTCTTCTGCTCCAATTGCTCCAGTATATAATGCACTTCCTCCTTTCACTTCCCTGACCAGCAGTTTTGCTTTTCCTGGCAATCCAGCACTTACCCCAACGGGATCTCTGCTGCCCCTTCCACCTACAACAACATCAGCCATTTCTTCACCTCATGCCAACTCTGCAAGCACCGTTCTCCCAACGCTCATGGCTTCAGCGGCTGCTCCAGCGCCACCATTTCCCCTTAACTTGTGCAGCGCTGTCCCTTCCCTGTTTTCTGTTCCTCAAGTCCCTCTAGGATCATGCAACTCATCCTTCCCTCCTTTCCCTGTCTCTAACACTCCCTCTGTCACTCCTGCTCTCCCTTCTTTCCCTGGGCTCCAGGCATCTTCTACAGTAGCAGCAGTCGCACCACTGCCGGCAGCTGCCACAGCCCCATCTCCAGCGCCAGTGCTGCCAGGGTTTGCCTCGGCCTTTAGCTCAAACTTCAACTCTGCACTTGTGGCACAGGCTGGGTAGGTTGTTTGTGCCAATAATGAAAGGCAGTTTCTTTGGCAAATTGTTGGTTATCTTTGTACTGTGATATCTAAACATAATTATGACTTATGAACAATTCATTTTTATAATCAGCTTTTAAGGGTTTTTTTTGTTGAAATCTATATTTCTGGACTTTTTTATCACCTTGATTTTTAAAAAAATCTACCTTGCTAGGGTACAAAGTATTGAATTCCTTCTTAGCTAAGCATATTTGGCTCTTGGGTTGCATTAAGACTTCTGAAGAGATGTCAAATAATGGGAACTGATAGGAGGGATTTAGGATGCATCTTTTGTTAATTGAAACAGTCACTCTCAGCTTCTAGCAAGATGTTTTGGACTTCTTTTCCCTTAACGCCTGATCATTGGTTGCAATAGCTGAGACTTCGGGGAACCGACATCCAAAACACTGAAAAGCCAAAGGCTGAGAGTCTCTGGATTGAAGTAATTAATCTTCATGTTTCAAACACAGGCAACAGTTTCCACATGCAAAATCCTTCTTGCCCAAGTGATAACTATGTAATAAGTAACTGGATACACACAAAAAACTCGGCATTTGTATTTTAAATTTCACTAACTACAGTGCTCCTTGGAATTTTGTATAGTAAATTGTTGGTTGCAATGTCTGACAAAGCTGAATATATTTTACATCTGGTTATTATAGCCTGACTTCTGGGCTCCAGGCTCCTGGTAATACAGTATTCCCAGGACTTCTCTCTCTTCCTGGCATCCCCGGACTTGCCCAAAGTGCTACACAGTCTTCCTTACAAGAACTTCAGCACAGTGCAGCTGCACAGTCAGCATTACTACAGGTAAATACAGTATCTGAATGGAATACACAATCATCTGATCAATTTGTTATAAACACAAAAGTTATGTGACCTCCACACTAAAAGTTCCATTTTCTCCAGCACTTTGATTGTATCTGTAATATGCTATATACAGATATATATAACAGCATGTTTATTCTAGTTATTTCAAGAGTTCCTTTTAAAATCTAAGTAATAATGAAATATCTCTGCTTGATTCATATTGATGTAGACTAGATATATAGGGGGGCCCTGGTGATGCAGCAGGTTAGACCACTGAGCTGCTGAATTTGCTGACCAAAAGGTTGGCAGTTCAAATCCGGATAGCAGGGTGAGCTCCCGCTGTTAGGCCCAGCTTCTGCCAACCTAGCAGTTAGAAAACATACAAATGTGAGATCAATAGGTATTGCTTCTGCAGGAAGGTAATGCGCTCCATGCAGTCATGTTGACCACATGACCTTGGAGGTGTCTATGAGCAACACCGACTCTTCAGCCTAAAAATGGATATGAACACCACCCCTCAAAATCTGACATGACTAGACTTAATGTCGAGAGCAAACCTTTACCTTAGATATATAGGAGTTGCTGCAGAGGTTTGAAGTTACCAAGTATAAATCTTGTCATTCAGATCTCATTCAAGCTGTAATAATGGGAAAGGAAGACTTGTATCTCCAAATGTTTGTGGCTACAGTGCCCACATGAAAGAGGTGGTGTAAGAGTTCTCAATGCCCCCAGAAGGAAGTTTGTGTCTCTGAAAATAGCAAGAGTACACAGTGTAAATATCAAGTTCTCATATTTAACATCTCAAGAGTTGTGTGTAATGGCAATCTCGAGTGCTCAGAGGTGAAGTTTTCATTAGATTTCACTTCCACTTAAAAACATCCTTCTATACATAAGGCGTGACTGTTGAAATGTTACTATACCTATTTTCATTTGTCAATATTATGTGACAACAACAAATGTTCATACTGTGTTGCTTTTAAATATGGGACAAAACCTTTCTAGGAGCAAAATTTGGGCTTCCTTGCTGTCAAAATTCAATTTTAGGGGAGCAACTCCTCAGAAGTCTTTTTTAATTCCTTTCTTTGTTTGATTAAAGGCACACTCTGCTTCTGCTCTGGAGAACTACACATCACAGCCTGATGTTTTTACTACATATTCTGCTGCACCAGGAACTCCCGGGACACCCTTTTCATTGCAAACAAGTCTTCCCCAGAGTGGATGGCAATAAACAACATCCATTTTACCTGCAGGGAGCAACCTTTTCTTGAAGACTGCTGTGGTAGTTTGGCAAATCCACTGATGATGCTTCCATTGAAGGCTTTGGCAAAATCTACTGACTTCTATGTGTCGCAATCGAGAGGAAGAGAAGAAGAATTCCAAATAACTATTTCAGGCAGGATACCCAAATCCTGAATTTTTAAAGAAAACAAACAAAAATATTTTTAATCAGTACCCTTATGAAGCAGTGAGCTTCATTCATTCCTTTTTAGGTAGGAGTCAAGGGTTTTGGATCTTTATGGGATTTTTTAAAATACAAGCATTATGTCAGGGTTTATTTTATTTTATTTTAAAAAGCAATTTTTGCTGGGTCATCACTGTCCCAACACGTGATTCAGGATATGAACTTTTCAGTATGTACATGGTATATGTTTTTTATAAAAAGTAATTTTAGAGCAGGGCTCCAAGACTATTTATTTCTTCTTTATACAGGCTGAGAAATCACACTGTTCAAAACATCCCGCATGGGCATACAGGATCAACTCTAGTCCTGCTCTTCCAGTATCTTGTTTCTCACTAACTTCATGTCAATGTTCATTCAGATATTTTTCACTGAAATTAATATTTATCCCCTTTGTTCCTATTTACCCCTACCACCTTTCAGTATTCATTTATCCTTCTAGAATGACTGGATTTCTACTATAGAGACGTACTGTATGTTTTTAAACTTTGGGCAAATCCGAATTGAGTGCACATTTAGGTCATTACAAGCTGTACCTTACAGATCATGGGTTTTATTCTGTAATTAACTTGTTTATTTTAGTCTTATCTTCAAAAGCATTGGCAGTGCATCAGTTATGCTGCCACCAATATGTCAAAGCCTGCTGATTTTATTCATCAAGTACGCATTTTCTTGAAAGTGTAGAACTAACCCAAAAATGTTTTGTAGTCATGTAAGAATGAATTTAGTGGTTAAGCTTGGAAAATGCAATTGTAATTATTAGGCAGGCTTGAACACAGCTGGAGCTGCATGTTCGGTTCATTCCTCCCCCAGTAACAAATTTAGGCCAGATACCAGTATAATCAAGGATATTCAAACCAGTTTCTCATGCTAGTTAGGAATTATGCAATGCAAAATATGGTCTCGCTGTGTCGGTGAAAGTGCTTTATTCTGTTTAGTATATTTAGTGATGAGTAGGAAAAAACTCCCAATATTATCTCTCTTTAAGAAAGTCTTGTTCTAGATCTTCAGTACAGCGATGATACTTGATTTTGTGTTTTGAATGTGAACTCTTATTTTTATTGCGGTGCATAGCTTAACATTTCCCTGTAAAGATGAAAGTCTGTTGAATAGTATTACTAATGTTGAGGCTTTCCAAAACTGAACAGGCATGAAGAACACTAATGTGTATATATCTGTTATTTTTATAAAGTTTTTAAAATAAATTGTGAAGCAGTGGTACACATGTTTCTAAATTAGACCCAAATAAACAATTATTTACACAATCTCTGTTATGTAGGCATATCTATGTGTGGTGAAATAACTGAAATAAGTCTCAGGGAAGGGGTCCTTTATAAAATACTGAAATTCAGTTGAGTTTCTGAATTGCTACTGGTTTTTATGTAGCTTCTAAATATTCCACAGAGGTAAGAACCAAAGAAATGGCTTAAATAAATAATTATATGATATGCAGATCAAATTGAACTCAGATTTTCGTCCAGGGTAAATATAAGTGTTTTATAGTGTAAAATGATTCAAAAAGAAATCTTCCCCCCAGTGTTTTGTACCAATTTCACTCTTTGACTGGAGTAGGCTACTTTACCATTTTTGTGGAATACTTCATTTTAAGAAAGGTAAAAGTGATGGTTTTCAGATCATGATTATTAAGGTTAAAGGTCTTCCCTGACATTAAGTCCAGTCGTATTCGACTCTGGGGATTGGTGCTCATCGCCATTTCTAAGCCGAAGAGCCTGCGTACTCCGTAGACACCTCCAAGGTCATGTGGCCAGAATGACTGCATGGAGCGTCGTTACCTTCCCACCGGAGCGGTACCTATTGATCTACTCACATTTGCATGTTTTTGAACTGCTAGATTGGCAGAAACTGGGGCTAACAGCGGGAGCTCAAGCCGCTCCCCAGATTCGAGCCTGCAACCTTTCCGTCAGCAAGTTCAGCAGCTCAGTGGTTTAACCCACTGTGCTACCAAGGGCTCTTTCGTGTTTGTTAGTACGCTGTTTTAAGCTACATTGGGGTAGAATCATTGCTACTGGGATACTTTTGGGGAACTGCATAATAATATCAGTGAAACCTGAAAATGGGATGTAGCTATACCTGCACTTTTGTTCTGAGAACTTGAAAATATATTGTAGGTGAAAGGTGGCTAATTTCTGCTTGTCCAGGGCCCATTTTTTCTAGTCAGCCAGTGGCACAAAAAGGCCAGAAGGGATATGGCTTAAGCAGGGGAAAATGCAGTATTTCATATACTTTAATAATAATAATAATAATACTTAGACCACCCTCTTCCTGAAGGAACTCAGGCCACTTTACCTACAAAAAAGACAAACATCCTATGCCTCAAGTAAGTACCAATAATATACAACAATATCAAATATATTTCAGGTCAAAATATATTTAAATTTAAAAATTTTATCAAGAGAGACAACCCACAATCATAGAATGAAAGAGTTGGACGAGACCTCATGGGCCATCCAGGCCAAGAAGCAGGAATATTGCATTCAAAGCACCCCTGACAGATGGCCATCCAGCCTCTGTTTAAAAGCTTCCAATGAAGGAGCCTCCACCACACTCCGGGGCAGAGAGTTCCACTGCTGAACGGCTCTCACAGTCAGGAAGTTCTTCCTCATGTTCAGATGGAATCTCCTTTCTTGTAGTTTGAAGCCATTGTTCCGCGTCCAGGGAAACGGAAAACAAGCTTGCTCCCTCCTCCCTGTGGCTTCCTCTCACATATTTCTACATAGCTATCATATCGCCTCAGCCTTCTCTTCTTCAGTCTAAACATGCCCAGCTCCTTAAGCCGCTCCTCATAGGGCTTGTTCTCCAGACCCTTGATCATTTCAGTCACCCTCCAGCTTGTCAATATGTCTCTTGAATTGTGGTGCCCAGAATTGGACACAATATTTCAGGTGTGGTCTAACCAAAGCGGAATAGAGGGGTAGCATTACTTCCCTAGATCTAGACACTATGCTCCTATTGATGCAGGCCAAAATCCCATTGGCTTTTTTTGCCGCCACATCACATTGTTGGCTCATGTTTAACTTGTAGTTTGATGGGGCACCAGAACTTCCTGATGGAAGACGACTAAATAGCTCTCAGAACTACAATATGTTTTGGTATTAATTGAAAACCCACATAATTATTTTTGAAAGGCAGAATTCAGAGCATCCTTATAGGTTGAATATCCCTTATCTGAAATGCTTGAGACCTGGTATCAGGGGCGGCTCAACCCATTACACAAAGTAAGCATTTGCAGTATAGTTGATTTTGTCCAGGGGCGCTCTTGAGGTGCTCTTGGGGAAAATAGACCTTGACATATGTGAGTTGTAGTTACTGGGATGTATAGTTCACTTACAATCAAAGAGCATTCTGAACTCCACCAATGATGAACTTGAACCAAATATGGCACACAGAACTCCCACGACGAACAGAAAATATATATCAGAGATTGGTTGGGGGGGGCACCAAAATACTGTTTGCTTACCGTTGAAAATTACCTAGGGCCTCCTCTGCCTGGTATGTTTGGGGTTTTGGGGTTTTTTTTAAATTTTGGGGATATTTTTCTACAGACGAGATCTTGGAAATTTATGGATGTTTCACATACGCCTTATACATGTAACCTGAAGAAAATTTTATACACAGTCTTTAGAAAGCAAAAAAATTCATTATTTTAGCCAGCTTTGTAGGCATTTTTGAGTTTTGGAACATTTGGGATTTCCAGAAAAGAGCTACTCAATCTGTGCTAGATAAATATGTGGTATTTGTACTGACATGTTTTAAAAATTTCTGAAAAATTATGTACTACATAATTTTGTGTGGTGGAGGCTCCTTCTTTGGAAGCTTTTAAATAGAGGCTGGATGGCCATCTGTCAGGGATGATTTGAATGCAATATTCCTGCTTCTTGGCAGGGGGTTGGACTGGATGACCTATGAGGTCTCTTCCAACTCTTTGATTCTATGATTCTAAAGCACTATTCCATCAAAATGTATTCATTTATTTTATTGCACTTATATACTCCCTAAAGTGTAAAGAATAAAATGTTCAGAAATGAGATTACTACGTTATTCCCTACCTCAGCCATTTATTTAATTCCTTCAGAGTATTTCTGCCACTAAACCCTCAGTTGTAGGAGGGAGTGGAGAAGAGGAAAGCAGCTAAATGGCTGTCACAACATACTCTCCCTTTGGCAGCCGTAAAGCACCAAGAGAACGCTTTTCAGCCTTGTCGCGCGGAGTGGCTGTGTGCGCATGCGCATTCGGTTCGCCTGACGGCGGAGTGTGTAGGATGAGCCCCAGACTCCAGAGCGGCCTGAGGGAAGAATAATAACAAGAGGGACTGTGCTTCAGGGGCTGCCATGGAGTCGGGGGTGGAGGAACTGATGCCTCGGCTCCTTCCTGTGGGGGACTGCGACCTCACGGAGGATTTCGACCCCACGGTGCCCCCCAGGACGCCCCAGGAGTACTTAAAGCGGGTCCAGTAAGTGGGGCGCCTAGACCGCCGAGAAAGTTAAGCATGGGCAAACTTGGGCCTTCCAGGTGTTTTGGACTTCAACTCCCACCATTCCTAACAGCCTCAGGCCCCTTCCTTTCCCCCCTCAGCCGCTTAAGCGGCTGAGGGGGGAAAGGAAGGGGCCTGAGGCTGTTAGGAATGGTGGGAGTTGAAGTCCAAAACACCTGGAAGGCCCAAGTTTGCCTAGGCCTACTTATAGCAGTCTGACATGGCTTTAACTACCTTGACTCCATGCTCTAGGCTCAGGTTCTGTGTTTATATGGGTCTTATACAAAAGGTTGCAGGTTCAAATCCGGGGAGCGGCGTGAGCACCTGCTGTTAGCCCCAGCTTCTGCCAACCTAGCAGTTTGAAAACATCAATAGGTACTGCTCCAGCAGGAAGGTAACGGTTCCTTGCAGTCATGCCAGCCACATGGCCTGTGAGGTGTTTACGGACAACGCCGGCTATTTGGCTTAGAAATGGATATGAGCACCACACCCCAGAGTCAGACACAACTGGATTTAATGTCAGGGAAAAACCTTTACCTATCTTTACCTGATACCGCTTTAAATGTCATGACAATGTTATGGAACCATGGGAGTTGTAGTTTGGTCTTTAGCAGATAAGGCTAAATACCTTGTGAAACTGCAGTTTCCATTATTCCATAGCATGAAGCCAACATAATTCTGGTGGTATAAAACTGCATTGATTCTGCAGTGTAGATGCTCCCCAAGTCACCCTGTTATTGGCAGCTCTGCTTAGGTCTTGCAGACTCAAGTTCATGGCTTCTTTGATTGAGTCTGTCCATCTGTCCTAATTATATATCCATTGTTCACCTTCAGACTTTCCTTTCATCTCTGGATATGTCAACTCAATGTTAGAAATGTAAAATAATTGACTGGTTGCCCCAACACGACAAAATAAAAATAACTCAATGTCAGTTCTTAAGATGGCTATTGGGACTTCAGATAGAGCAGTGGTTCTCATCCTGTAAGTCTCCTGGTGTTTTGGCTTACAACTCTCAGAAATCCCAGCCGGTTTATCAGCTGTTAGGATTTCTGAAGTTGAAGGCCAAAGCATCTGGGGACCCACAGATTGAGGACCATTGAGATAGAGGGAATAATGAATAGTTGTGTTTTGTTCTGTCAGAATCTGTCAATTTCAAGGAATTTCCTGATTTTGCTCTCCTAATAAACTGTAGTGTGCTTCTTTTTTAGGGTAAGCATGTACATGTGCCCTTTCCTTATGAAACAATTTGCTAAAAACAAAAATGAAAAACAGTTAAAAAGACACATGACTCCTTAAAAACAAAAGTGTTACATTTCGCATAATCTTTTGTGTAATAGAGCAACCCATTTCATTGGATGCATCTGTAATCCACAAAAGTTTATGCCAAATAAATTGTGTTAATAATAATTAAGGTGTCATGGCAGTTTGTTGTTTTGCTTTGTGTTATATTTTTCCCCCACATCACTATCTTGCGCATGGCTGTAGTTGATGGATCTTAGAGTTCTAACAGAAAGCAAAATACATCCTTCATGCTTGACATCTTCCTGTCCTGAAAACTTTACCTCAGCAAGCAGTATGCAAAGTTGTAATTAAAACCAATGAAAAATGAAGGTTTAAATAAATAAATAAATATTCATTCTGAACGTGGGAAGAAGGAAACGTATTCACCAGTTTTGTCTCTTTGATTTGGGAATTTAAACATCTTGTTTTGTTTTCAAGGACAGAAGAATGTTAAGAGCTAGAATTTAAAGAATAGGTTGACCTGAACATCTAAAAATCAGACCCTTGAAAGTACTTACCAATGCAATGAGCTGGCACACAATTTTTGAGATGACACTTTTCTTACTATGGAAAGAACTATGAGGAAAGTGGCACTTGATTGATTTCTTATCAGTCTTTTTTAAAAACCTATGAAGTCAGAGAGTGTATGTTGGAATGGTTCTGAAGATATTCAGTGATATATTATTTATTTCTCATGGTCCATTATGTATTTCGATTAAAAATGTTATTTTTCCAAAGTGTTTTCACTACTGTGAAAATTGTGGGAAAAGAGTAGTCAAGATTATGATGATATTCATGAGTTGTTATAGTAGGTGACAATAGAGGGATTCCTGTGTAATACATATGCTATACTTCTCTTGAAATTACTAAGTATTTCAAATTTCAGACATCTGTTCTTCTTTCATAGAATTGAAGCTGCAAATTGTCCTGATGTTGTCGTGGCCCAAATAGATCCCAAGAAGTTGAAAAAGAAACAGACTGTAAATATTTCAGTAAGTTGTTTTTAAAAGAAAAGAATTAATAAGCTTCTCAATGGAGCTAGTTCATTAGTGAGAAGCTTCTGAATGTGTTTATAGTCATTTTTAACATCAGACAGTTTCAGAGTGTGTTCACCTGACCCCATCTGTTTAGTTTCTAAAATACTTTTGAAGCACTGTACATATACTTTGCACAATTCAAATGGAATGAGTCTAGATTTGCAGAATCAAGTCTCAAAATGCAATGACATTGCTTAATCTTAAAATTGCACACCACCAAATTCTTACAATATCAATAGCTTTTGTTTTCTCAGCTTTCAGGGTGCCAGCCTGCCCCAGTAGGTTACTCTCCAACACTGAAATGGCAGCAGCAACAAGTGGCCCACTTTTCAACCATTCGTCAGGTAAATAATGAATGTGCATAAAACATTAATTATATTGTATGACAGAGGTGGGAAAAAATATGGTTTGCAGCTAATATTTGGCTTTTTATGGGCCCTTAAGATTCCCAACCTTTCTAGAACTTCATATTCCCCCCCCCCATTTTACCCCCCCCCCCCAAAAGCTCTAAATGCCTTCAAACTACCTATAATGTCCCCCTGATGTCTCCAAACTGGGGGGCGGGCGACAAAAAACCCAACCCATCAGGAGATACAAACCAGATGTTATTTCTTAGTTGTATTTCCATCCAGTTTTCAGCAACAAATGCAATAGAGCATTTTCCTCTTCCATTTAAGTACACATTTATCTTATCTTTCTAGGTTTTTTATTTATAAGTCAATATCTAATGAAGATGGAGTGATGCCCTCTGCAGTTTGGGGAATAATCTAGATCCTGTCATGTTGGAAAAAAATTGGCAGTCACCTATGTCAGAGAAGTACTGCTTTGGAGCACTGCTTCTTAAACTATGGACCCCAACCCCAAATGAGATCCCTTAGCTCAATGTTGGGGTCCTGAAAAATATGGCGCAAAGGTTTAGTTTTATAGTCAAGAATATTGTCAATTCCTTTTTTTAATAAGGTGTCATTCATTTAAAGAAGCTTTTGTTGACCATGAGTTGAAGTCAATTAATTGATTAAATCTGCATAAATGTAGAACAGTAATTCTAAGATGGGAAGACGTAATATCGGTTTCTACACTTGCGACGAAGAATTCCTTATGTGAGACCAGAGAGAAATTTCTTACAAGATGGCACTTGCCATCTTCAGGTACATGCTAAGCATAATTTCAAACATCTGATGCCTCATAAATAATGTGCCCTTATTAGTTGATCACAAAGTGTTTTATCTAATTGATTATTCCAAGAAAAATTGATACAGGGTTTTCATTTAAATCTTCCAGAATGTGAACAAACATAGGGATCATTGGAAGGCACAGCAACTGGATAGTAATGTAGCCATTGTGAGTAGAATTTATCATTTTCACTGTGGTTGTCAAAGCACTTCCTCTATTTATTGCCAAATGTAATTGTTTATGAATACTTTCTGTTTTTATTTTGTTATTGAGTTATTGCCTAGTGACTCTGCAGTAACAGTTATAAACTTCAAATACATAATTTCAAGTAGAAAAATGACAACTTTTGAGGGAAAGATGGACAATTTTTTCTATCCATGTACAAAACATACATTATTATTATTATTATTATTATTATTATTATTATTATTAATTTACTTTTATCCCGCTTTTCTCTCAAAATGGGACTCAAAAGTGGCATACAACTACATAATACAAAAAACATCAACCACCTACCCAACATTTAAATAATAAATCCACACATTACATAAAACACAAGTTACATAAATAAGCAACAAAATAATTGCACGTCATTGTCATTAAAAATTTGTTTCATTGTACGAGAAAAATAAAATACATCTTTATATTCTTCAGCCCAGATCTGAGGATGAAGAAGCCTGGAAAAAATTTTGTCTGGGTGAAAAATTATATTTTGAAAAAGCAGTTCAAGTATCCAGTGATGACAATGAAGGAATTGATTATGTGCAGGTGAACGTTCAACTGAACTAATGTTGCATATCATGACCCAGAGTTTTATCAGTGGCATGAATGGCATTTTAAATTATCCCTTTCATGTAATATAAAATATTGTGTGTTCATTTTTATGCCATTATAGTGTTGTCTTCTCTATGTCTACCCAAAAGCAACTCCCCTTGAATTCATTGGACTTGCTCCCAGGTATGCATATTAGATTGCAGCTTAATAGTACTACAGTTTATAGAACAAAATGATCAAATACCAGTCCATTGCTGACACAGAAGTCAGCAATATTGCAGCATTTGCATGTAATCTTTGTCTGGCAAAATAAGTACAAAACCTTATCAGCCCCTTCTTCAGACAGACCGGACCCATTGTTGTATAGCAAAGTGTTTTTCAATGTTGCCTCAAAGTTCAGAAATAATTTATTGTAGACATGGAACTTCTTTTTGGCACATAGAACTGATTCTTTAGCACCTGATCAAATATAATCATGTGAACACATTTAGAAGTGTTACGATTTTTTAAAAAATGACATTGTAGTCCTCATTTTGATTTTCAACAAATATATTTAAATCATACAAAAAGCTCTATTTCTTTTCTTTCAGATTGGCTTTCCTCCATTGCTGAGCATTGTTAGCAGAATGAATCAGGTAGCACTATTTCTTTCACTCTTGTGAATAATTTTGGGATGCTGTTAGTTATGCAAATGACAGTACCCATCTTTTCTCTCCCAACTCCTGCGTTAAATTTTAAAGTATATTCTGTTATAGTGCATCAGTGTCAGTGCATCAGCTGTTTTAGCTGGATAGTTGTGAGTCATGAATTGAAAAACCGCATTGTACTGTATCTCAAATGTATTTTTGTAAAATATTTAAAAACCTGATTAAAAAATAATTTGATTGATGACAAACTCCTTTTAGCTACTCTGTTTAGATATTCGACTATTATAATTTATCTTTTCAAAAGAATCAATAAGTTTTTTTTACTTTAATGTTACTGAAAATTGCAGTGTACTCTGCTCCCAAAACACTTGTCATTTGTTTGTAAGCTTGCAAGAATATTTGTCACTTACAAGTAGATTCTCCAATTTGTTAAAACTTGTTGAACAAAATGAAATACCAGCATTATGGAATCATAAATTTTTAAAGTCATATTTACATTGCCAAGATGGCTGTAAACATACGCACAACCAACTGATACTTTATTTTTGGTCATCTAATTGCTGTATCATCCATTGTGTTTGCCTGAAATATAAATTGACTGGATGATTCTGGAAGAGGTATATAGGGTAAAAACTTCAATCATCGAGAATATTTTCATAACTGATTTTCTTTCTCTTCAAAGGCAACAGTAACTTCTGTCTTGGAATATCTGACAAACTGGCTTGGAAAGAAGGAATTTACCCCAGAGCTGGTAACTTGCATTCTTATTTTTAAATTTTTGACTGAAGTTACATTTAAACCTATAACTGTTCCAACTTACATACAAACTCAACTTAAGAACAAACCTATAGAACCCATCTTGTTCATAACCTGGGAACTGCCTTTGATCCTTTAATACAAATACTCATGGTTTCTACCTACAGTATATAAAAAGTTCTACTTATTACATACTATAAAAATAAGTCATATTGAGTCATTACAACTGTAAGGAGCTTCTACATGTACAATATGAAAGCTTTTGCACCAGGTTCTGTCATGATTTGTTAGATGTCTGAATTGAGCTTGATTGGGGCCCTAAGTAAGATACAGCAATTTTGTGATGTCTGGTTTTCTATACTTGGGTGCAGCTGTTGACTTTATATCCAACCATTGTTTGATTTTTTAAAATGACAACAGCCAAATTCTCACTTAAGTGTGATAAAATAGTATGTTCAATTCTCGCTGCAGCTTTCTTTACATCTCTCCAGGGCAGATGGCTTTATGCTTTGCTGGCCTGTCTTGAAAAACCATTGTTACCAGAAGCTCACTCTCTGATCCGGCAATTGGCCAGACAGTGCTCTGAAGTGAGGGCCTTGGAGGTAAGTGAAATCAGCTCATAATTGCAGGAAGGAAATGGAGGAAGATGTCATTTATGAATTAGCTGGTCATAAAAAAATCATTTTGTTTCTTTGATAGGTTTGTGAATGATAATTCAAAGCATGACGAAGCACAGTAATTTGAGATGTTGGACATTATATGTGTTGAAGTGACAGCCTAGAGTTTTTATATTAATATTATTTTACTGACAGTATTTAATGCGAGTAATGAATGTCTAAAATTCAAATAGCTGGATAGTTGTGAGTTTTCCAGGCTGTATGAACATGTTCCAGAAGTATTCTCTCCTGATGTTTCGTCCAAATCTATGGCAGGCATCCTCAGATGTTGTGAGGCCTGTTGAAAACTAGGAAAATGGGGTTTATATATCTGTGGAATGTCCAGGGTGTACATTCAAGTAGCTTATTCCTTTCAAAATTCTATCAAGGAATGTTTCCAAGTTGTTTAAATGTTCTTCAGTGTTCAGTACTTTTAGAGGATTGATATATTTGCAAAACATGTATCAAACCATTGATACTAATCATATTTGCTGTAATGTATTGAAATACTCTTTATCCCCCCCCCCCCCAATTCTGTTTCAGGAGAATAAGAACGATGAAAAAGTGTCTGCCTTAAATTTGATCATTTGTTTAGTTGGCAGGTATGGCAAATAAGATGATCTATAAAAAATAAACTTGAGTCTTACCCTCAGTGACTTGTTGTGGACTTTCACTTCTGAAGTCCTAAAAAAGTTTTTCAGTGAGCATGATATTAGCATCAGCCTCTTGTCACAGAGTTGGTTCTAGATTAGGTGCATGCAATGCAGTGGCAGAAGCAGACTAGTGGAGAGCTTGGGGCAGAGCCCTGCAAATCAGAAGAAGCACATTCTGTGCCTAGAATTTTGCCTCCCATCTATTTTTCAGAGATCCTTTCCTTTACCTTCACTACCCCTTCCGCTGCAGCCTAACTCATACAACGGGGACTTCTGACATTCTGTGTAACATTTTAGGAGATTAAATCAATATGGATTATGAGTGGAATTCATTCATACTAACCAATAGTCCAAAATAATGTGGAAGACTGAATGAGAATTATATATTGACTGAAAAATTACTTACGCAACTATTGTATCCTGCATATAACTTGTAGCATGCCTGCTCCTATGGGTTTTTTTTTCTGATCACTTATTGTTTCCCAACAGAAACATTTGGGATGTTCTATTAGCTATCATAGAGCCTGATCTCTTTTGAAGGACAAGAAAGATGGATTCCACAATGGAATTAATTAACTATATTCCAGCAACTCTCGGAGTATTCCTTTCAACTTGATGTAATGTCCCATGTCAGATCCCAGATCAGGCAGCAGCAGTTTGGGACCTTTCTGTTGTTTACCTGATAACCATTTGTGTAGTAGCTACTCAGACTTTATAGTTACACACTGAATGAGCTGACACAATAGGTTGCAGTCTTGAAAAGATTGTTAAGAAATTTAGCTCTGGCCCTTATTTAGTATGTCAGTGTTCTATGGGTGTCCTAAACTCATTAAGTCTTGTGTTAGACTTTTCCTTAATATATACAATTAAATAGTTTTCCTAACCATCTTACAGATATTTTGACCAGCATGACCTGGCTGATGAGGCAACCTGAAAAATCTGGAGAGAGAACACACAAGCACAAGATGTTATGGTTGATATCAGCTAACTTCTTTGGATCTCCAGTGCAAAGAATGGCAGACACGTCCAACCTTGCAGCATGAGTTCACTGGCTAAAGTGGGTTAGAAGATCTGTGAACATTTTTAGAGCAAGAGTGTTACTTCAAACTCAGCTTAGAAGAGTTCAGCAGCAGAGTGCCTCCATAGTTCATTACGGATATAAAGAGCACGGTATTTTATCTCATTAAAATGCAGGATTGTATTAAACTAATACACATGCTGTATAAGAATTTTTATGTTTTCTAAATAAAGTTTTTAAAAAAATTAGTTGTGTATTTGAAGGGACTGCTATGTTTGTGTCTTACAGTAAACACAACATAACATAAGTCTTTCTCAGACTGCAATTAAAAAAGCTTTTGTGAGATAAAACTAGCGTATTTCTTTGAATGGTTAAAATGTCACCTCAGTTGACAATCTTGGATGAATTTGTACTTTGAACAGATTCTTCATGGCTGGATCAAAATACTGCACATTTAACCAGATATTAGAATTCAACATTTAATTAAGGTTTCCATTACATATTTACAATGTAAAATACATGTTGGAGACACAAAAATGAAACATAACTTTTTTAAAAAGATGTGAAAAGTGGCCATTGATCTGACGGTTACTTGCAGTTTTACAGAACATTTGACAGCTGCATGTAGCTATAATTATAAATAAAATATACAGTTGATTTTATCATTTTACAAATGAAGAAGCAGATTCTGTACAGGTCTATATCTTCTGTATCATCACCTGAAATTTGCCTGCAAAAAAGAAAAAAAGTTCAAGTATATCTACCTTTCACAACAGAAGCAATTACCCTATCTCAAGTATGGGAAACTTTGTGGAGACCCTCCACAGAAAGCATTAGGCCCAAAAATGCAAACGAAAGAAAATACCTCAGCTGTCACCACCACCACTTTCGAGAACTGGGATTTTGATAGATTTGTTTCTTATGTAAGACCCGTCGCAAACTAGGCTCCTGCGGGAGCAAACCTTGCCAGCACGTCCCTGACGTCATGAGACTCCGCCTCTCGCCCCGCCCCTTTCTCCGTGCCAGAGTGGTTTTTCCCTTGCTAGGGCAGCATTGCCAGCATACTCTGTCAGTTGAATTCTGCCAACTGAGAGTATGCTGGCAATGCTGCCCTAGCAAAGGAAAAACCACTCTGGCACGGAGAAAGGGGCTGAGAAAGGGGCGGGGCGAGAGGCGCAGCCTCATGACGTCAGGGACGTGCTGGCAAGGTTTGCTCCTGCAGGAGCCTAGTTTGCAGCGGCTCTATAGCACAGTTACAAGCTGATCCTATACATTTCTACTCAAAAACAAATGCTTATCTGAAATCAGCAGTCATTTTATTGAAAGTTTTGCACCCCCAAAGATCCAACAACATAAGGCGTACACACAGAGTGGTTCAGTTTGACAACTTTCATAACATATACAAAAAGCTGTGAAATCTAGAGCAAGATCTAATCCTATTATGTTTGACACTTCACTAGTAAGGATTTAACAAGAGCTTGGAAATTTTTCTGGAATCCCCAAGAATCTCCAACCTGGGCAAAGAAAAACTTTTCCAAATTGAGATTAAATGTAACCTAGAGATCTGGATCGCTGGTGGATTCCAGCTGTTGCTCAACATTATTTTTTTCCAAACTCTCCACTGTGCACCAATTCCAATTATGGCCCCAACTTGATAACCATTAAAATTATTCTTAATGCAGAATTCCCAATGATTTGGCTCCATCTATAACTAACTCTGGATTTAGCCCAGACTCCTGGTTATGCTTTAGATCAGTGGTTCCTAACTTTTTTTGAGTTGTGACCCCATTTTATAGAGGCAAAGTGACCAGCGACACCAATACATTAAAAATTAGAGCTGTTGGCACTGCTACAGCGACGACTATTGTGCCTGGACCTTACAGTACTGCTCAGTTTGTGATTGACTGCTCCTGGCTGGCTGCTCAACTGGTCAAAGGAGGGAAATAATGCAATGTGCTGGGTATCAGATTTCTAGAAGCGGGATCTTTTGATTCATGTCAATATACAATTTATTATATTTTGGAGAATTTGCTGGTATCAAAGAGAAAACACTGTCACCCGCAAGAAACAAGGCTAGGCATTTAGTGTACATGTATCACCAAGAATCAATCACAAGCTGAGCGTCGTCCACATTCCATAGAGTCAAGCACTGCACATGAACCCGGACATCACAACAAGCTAACCTGATAAACGAAAGATCATTACACATTTATGCAGACAAATCTATGCAGGACGCAATGATGTGATTTTTTGTTTTCCCTTTTTAAAAAATTCATAGCTCACCACTGCATGGCGACTTCACAGAAAACTCTTGGGATGGGAACCACTGCTTTAGATATGCATTTCTCAATCCTTGTAATGATTATAATGCATTGCTCATTAGTTACCTAATTTTATATTTTTATGCATGCCACAGTGTCTAAACAACTGCTTGATCTAGTGGAAGAGATGGTTAATACAAACTTCTCACATTAACTAACAGGAACTGTACTTACATGCTGGCATTGTCGAAACTTCAGCTGTAACAATACTCTTTATCCCCAGGTTTGATAAAGCACCTCTAATTAATCCACAAGTAAATGCCAAATACTAAAGAAAAATGAAACAAAATTATTTCTTCCATGCCAAGGAAGTTCAGCATAAATTTACAGGAACTAAGCAAACAAGAGGATGAGCTATAATGGAAATTCTACCAAGCCCAGATTCATGACAGCAGGGCAGGAATATCCTGGGAGAGCACCTTTTTCTTTAGCTTTTATGGCCTTGAGGGTGGTGGGCGCTTTCCTCATCATTCTCATCAGGAAATCAGCTGTGCCAGCTCTTGTGCAAGCATAGTTTCCTCTGTCCCCAGCCCACAAGTATTTGGAGAGGTAGGGAACCGCAATTTCATCCCCTTTCCATAGACATACACACAACCAACTATGTAGGGCTAACATTCCAACACACAGAAGAACCCACAATTGGAGCTACTATGATGAACATCAGAATACATACCTTAGGAGCATGTTCCAGATACTGTTTCCCTGCTGACATTTGAGTCAGGAGACGGAATTTGTTATCCTGAAGTACATAGATGCCCTGTAGAAGTAGATAACAATGTTTTCCATATTAAACTTCTTTTATTGCATGTGTAGACTTGCCTTTGCCTTGGCTGTTCATGCAAGATCTGTTAGTGTGACAATTTAGCTAGGAACCATGCATGTAAGTATACACTATATTAGATGTCCATAGCCTTGGCTCCACAGAATCTGGGGGGCATCCATTTAAGGGAACCCATCGACAAGTCAATGATTCCCTCTGTCCCAATTTTAGTTCTTTTCCTGTTTCTCTTGTCCTCATTGATTTTTGAAGGACTTTCAAGGAAAAAATGTTAATCTTTTTAAAGGTTCATTGTAATTTGCTTTCCAAACTGGGGTCCATTAAGGAGAAATAAGGGACATAAATTAAGAAGAGAGGGCTTATATGAAGGAAATCAATTTCCAATATAGTGCAATAAACTATATGCAAAGTTTGTGTGTATGTGTGTTTTTCAGGGAAGGGGTTTCAGAGGTTCCACCATATTCTGTAAACCACAAGAAGGCAAAGAACCACTTGTCCATTGTCAAGTACAGCTCTGTGGCTATAACTGTACTCATGTCAATCAGCTACTGGGGTTAGTGCATGTGTATCCACACACACTTATCTCTCCCTACACAGCTGATTTATTGCACACTAAAGTTTTCTTTATTCAGCTTCAACAAACCATTCTATATTATGAGAGAGAGAAAACCTTCCCTCTACCCACTTTCTCATCAGTATGCATATTTGTATACATCTTTATCATATCTCTCGCCACAACACACTTTTTTCTAAGCTAAAAAAAACACCAAAAACTATCATCTTGTTCAAGAGGTCACTTTCAGTGCCTGGATCATTTTGACTGTACCTTTCTGCATTCAGTTAAAACGGTTGGAGTTTGAACTGAATACAGAAAATGCTAACTTGATGATCCTAATAACTATATATTTCAGTAAAATCCCAGCTATTTTAATTGGACATATTTGTCTCTGAAGCTCAATAAAAGTGCTCTCTCTCCCTGTGTGTGTGTGTGTGTGTAACCTCTAAGGATGCCTGCCATACATGTGGGCAAAACGTCAGGAGATAATGCTTATGGAACATGACTGTACAGACCAGAAAACTCCTAGCAATCCAATACACACACACACACTTTCTGATGTGATATTAATACTGACTGATACACAGAATGGATAATCCCTCTTTAGATTCTGTATTCTTACAATAGAAATACCTGATGGTTGGTTCTGAGATTATCAATTTGCTTTTTAAATACTGTCGTCCAAAAATCTTTGCAGATAAACTTCATTATATCTAATTCATCCTTGAATCTGGCAGTATCTTTGGTAAACCTAAGATAAAGCAATCCAAAATAGAAGCAACATGTTGTCACTAAAATAACAAAAGTACATACAGAAACAATCCCTAAATAGAAAAGGGTGGACAAATTATAATCCTCCCAGTATTGTAGGACTGCAGTTCCAATCAGGCCTTGCAAGTCCGTTAAGGAATGGTGGGAGTCATTTTAATCTAGAAAGTGACAATCTGACGACTTTGCTGAACAGGAAAGAAAGATGAAATGCCAACACATTATCTTGGCTGGCAGTGAGAGAGAGGCCTAGTCTAGAAACATCACTTTTATAAATAAATGTATCATACTAAAACACCCTTAGCAGCCTTCAAGTTGAACCAATCAATTTTAATTCTGCTTTTATCACACTGTTATTATTTGTTTTTAACATTTGTATTGCTCTTTTTAAATTGTTTGGTGTGGATAGATGTTAGCAGCAGTAAAAGAAAATAGCACTGATGCCCCACAGATGCAAACCAGCTGAGTAATATAAAGTATAGCATATTGCAGAAGACAAATATATAGTACCTTCACACTCCCTTATTCAAGACAGTACCCTTTGATTTCACAAAACCCTACAAACTTTAGCAGCCATTTTTTCTAATCCTTAATCGACCACTTCTATAGATGCAGAACATCATTATAAACAATTTCTCTTACAGAATTAGTGAGACTTTATTGAAAATAGATTTTTTTTCTGAATTAGCATGCTGCTTCTAGAAGGATAGGTGGAAACCTGCTGGAAAGTCTGTAGACAGGCATCCAGCCCCGGGGGGGGGGGGGGGGGGGGGGGGGGGGGGGGGAGCTTGAGGGGCTGAAGCCCCCCCCCCCCTAAATTCTCTTGGTGGTCTGCGAGAAGGCCTTACTGGTACATTATTTAAACTGTTATGTTTATTCCTATCATGATCTGATCACTATGCTCAATATATCCCATATGCATGGGGGTATTGGGGTAACGATACAAAAGGTTTGCTAGGGTAGACCCTCTTTCACTCACACTCAGCCCCCCCCCCAATCAAACTCAGCCCCTCCCGAATCAAAATCCTAGCTACGGACCTGTCTGTAGAGATTATCTTAAGAATGTATGCATTTTACTCACCTTTCTATTAAACCTTGTCCGACTCTAAATCCCATGTTTTCCAGTTTAGTGATGCATTTCCCATTTTCCTAAAAGGTAAAAAAAATGATGATCTTGCAATAAGTGCAAATGTGTATACACACAAAAATATCCCAGAAGACCATACACACATAATTTAAATTATTTTACAGGTTTTTTAGCACTTCTCCTTCACTTCCTTGATTTTACAGTAGTTCAACATGACACCTGAAATGGACAGAAGAATTCTGTGCTGTAAGAACACATGACAATACAAAAGGAAGCTTCTAAATTAATAAAGCAGCAGCTAATCTAGGCAACAAAACTTTAATTACCCCCCCTCCCCAGAACAGTTTACTACTCTTGCTATACTTATTATAATTGTTCAGTCAAGAGGATAGTTAAGGGATGGTGATGGCTGACGGAGCTCTGGCGTGGGCTGGTCTGTGAGGTCACGAAGAATCGGAAGCGACTGAACAAATAAACAACAACAACAACTATTATTATTATTATTCTTTATTTATATCCTGCTTTTCTCCCTAATGGGACCCAAAGTGGCTCACAACAAAATACAATACAAATCAAAGCACGTTTAACACAAAATACAAGACAAAAATCACAGAATAACATAATATTAATAACATAACATAATAATCTCCAGCAAAGGATCACCGCCTTGTCGGGGCGCTGGAGCTTGAGCACCTCAATGATGTCATGAGCGAAACCGTGAAGGGCCACCCAAGACGGGACGGTTGTGGCAGAGAGGTCAGACCAAGCGTGATCCCTGGGGAAGGCAATGGCAAACCACTCCAGTATCCTTGCCAAGAAAACTAAATGGACCAGTACAACCAGAGATATGTCGGTATGCCATTGGAAGATGGGACTCCCAGGTCGGAATATGGCCAAAATGCTACTGGGGAGGAGCAGAGGATAAGTTCAACTAGCCCCAGATGTGATGACGCAGCTAGCTCAAAGCCGAAAGGAAGGCTAGCGGCCGACGGTACTGGAGGTGAACGACGAATCCGATGCTCTAAAGATCAACACTCCATAGGAACCTGGAATGTAAGATCTATGAGCCAGGGCAAATTGGATGTTGTTATTGGTGAGATGTCAAGACTAAAGATAGACATTCTGGGGGTCAGCGAACTGAAATGGACTGGAATGGGCCACTTCACATCAGATGACCACCAGATCTACTACTGCGGACAAGAGGAACATAGAAGAAATGGAGTAGCCTTCATAATTAATAAGAAATTCGCTAAAGCGGTGCTTGGATACAACCCAAAAAATGACAGAATGATCTCAATTCGAGTGCAAGGAAAGCCTTTCAACATTACAGTGATCCAAATATATGCCCCAACCACAGCTGCTGAAGAAGCAGAAGTAGATCAGTTCTATGAGGATCTGCAGGACCTACTGGATAATACACCAAAAAGAGACATTATTTTCATTACAGGAGACTGGAATGCCAAGGTGGGAAGTCAAATGACGACTGGGATCACAGGCAAGCATGGTCTGGGAGAACAAAATGAAGCGGGACGCAGGCTGATAGAATTTTGCCAGGAAAACTCGCTGTGTATAACTACTACTCTCTTCCAACAACCTAAAAGACGGCTTTACACATGGACCTCACCAGACGGTCAACACCGAAATCAGATTGACTACATCCTTTGCAGCCAAAGGTGGCGGACATCCATCCAGTCGGTGAAAACAAGACCTGGGGCTGACTGTACTCAGATCACGAACTTCTTATTGCCAAATTTAGAATAAAACTAAAGAGATCAGGGAAAATACACAGACCAGTTAGATATGATCTCACTAACATTCCTAGCGAATATACAGTGGAAGTGAAGAACAGATTTGAAGGACTAGACTTAGTAAACAGAGTCCCAGAAGAACTATGGACAGAAGTCCGCGACATTGTTCAGGAGGCGGCAACAAAGTACGTTCCAAAGAAAAAGAAAACCAGAAAGGCAAAATGGTTGTCTGCTGAGACACTGGAAGTAGCCCAAGAAAGGAGGAAAGCAAAAGGAAACAGGGATAAGGGGAGATATGCCCAGTTAAATGCGCAATTCCAGAGGTTAGCCAGAAGAGATAAGGAACTATTTTTAAATAAGCCATGCATGGAAGTTGAAGAAGACAACAGAATAGGAAGGACAAGAGACCTCTTCCAGAAAATTAGAAACATTGGAGGTAAATTTCAGGCAAAAATTGGTATGATAAGAAACAAAGATGGCAGGGACCTAACAGAAGCTGAAGAGATCAAGAGAAGGTGGCGAGACTATACAGCAGATCTGTATAGGAAGGATAATAATATTGAGGATAGTTTTGACGGTGTGGTGAATGAATTAGAACCAGACATCCTGAGGAGTGAGGTTGAATGGGCCTTAAGAAGCATTGCTAACAACAAGGCAGCAGGAGATGACGGGATCCCAGCTGAACTGTTTAAAATCTTAAAAGATTATGCTGTCAAGGTGATGCATGCCATTTGCCAGCAAATATGGAAAACACAAGAATGGCCATCAGACTGGAAAAAATCAACTTATATCCCCATACCAAAAAAGGGAAATGCGAAAGACTGCTCAAACTTCCGTACAGTGGCCCTTATTTCACATGCCAGTAAGGTAATGCTCAAGATCCTGCAAGGAAGACTCCAGCAATACATGGAGCGAGAGTTGCCAGATGTTCAAGCTGGGTTTAGAAAAGGCAGAGGAACGAGAGACCAAATTGCCAATATCCGCTGGATAATGGAGAAAGGCAGGGAGTTTCAGAAAAACATCTACTTCTGCTTCATTGACTATTCTAAAGCCTTTGACTGTGTGGATCATAATAAATTGTGGCAAGTTCTTGGGGATGGGCATCCCAAGCCACCTTGTCTCTCTCCTGAGGAATCTGTACAAGGACCAAGTAGCAACAGTCAGAACTGACCACGGAACAACAGACTGGTTCAAGATTGGGAACTACTTTGCTGCTTTTTTGCTGCACTTTACCCTGGACTATTTTGTTCCTGCTTATCTTCTTACCTAATTGGACTTACTTATTTCTTTAAAGTGCTTTCTACTTTGCTGCTTTTTAATTATCTTCAATAAAATTATTGTTTTTTCTAATTCAATGGTGTGGTGTTTAAAGTCAGAGGGCTTTTCCTGTCCTGGAGTGCAACACTCCCAGACAAGGACATTTCATTGTAAACTGACTAGTTCTTCCTCTCTGCTCTATGCACTCACCTGCACCTTCTGGCCTGCGATCTCAGTAGGGCTGTCATGCCGGGGCGGCGGGTGCAAATCGCCATTGTTCACAACGTATTGGATAAGGTTGGCCAGAGCTGCGCAGGAGTCCGCACACGTGTGGACGTGCACTACATTGTTGGAGCAGCGTAGCTCAAAGAGTGGTCGGGTCTAGAATAGAAAAGGATAGAATACCATTATTATTATTATTATTATTATTGAATTGATTTTTATTGATAAAATTTAAAAAGAAAATAAGAAAATTATTTTACATCGAAAGTGGGAGAACATTTTCTTTTTTTTAAGTAGTAAAGAAAGAAAGGAAGAGAAAAATAGAGAAAGAAGAAGAAAAATGAAAAAAGGGGAAAATGAAAAATAAAAATAAAAAGGTGTTGTTGACTTCTATCTAGTCTTTGGTGGTCTTTGTATCTTTCTTCCTTCCAATCACTTAATATTGAGACTAACATTATTGTCACTATACATCATACAATGAAATTAAATGCCATCCCCAGTGTCAAGAGGCCACCAATTTGTAACGATGCCACCAATTTGTAAATGTTTTATAAAGGAGCCGCCACTTTGTAAGAGCTTACTAAATTGATAACACAACTAATAGCTTGTAATATTGGTTTGGTCTTTCTTCAGTGTGTAGCGCGGCTTGACTTGAAAGTATTTGTAACAGAGACTTGGTTTTAGAAGAAACTGTGACAAGTTTATTGAAATATAGAAGAAGCTTAATGGTTTCAATGTTTCTTAACTCTTAGAGGCACATATCTTCAGAGGTTACATTTAATACATTTCACAAAACGAAAAAAGGATGACCCAAACAACTACCGTCACATCGATACCGGGCAAGATTCTGGAAAAGATTGTTAAGGAAGCGGTCTGCAAACACTTAGAAACAAATGCGGTCATCGCTAATAGTCAACATGGATTTATCAAAAACAAGTCATGCCAGACTAATCTGATCTCTTTCTTCGATAGAGCTACAAGCTGGGTAGATGCGGGGAATGCCGTGGATGTAGCGTACCTGGATTTCAGTAAGGCCTTCGACAAGGTCCCCCATGACCTTCTGGCAAGGAAACTAGTCCAATGTGGGCTAGGCAAAACTACGGTGAGGTGGATCTGTAATTTGTTAAGTGGACGAACCCAGAGGGTGATCACCAAGGCTTTCTCTTCATCTTGGAAAGAAGTGACAAGTGGAGTGCCTCAGGGTTCCGTCCTGGGCCCGGTCCTGTTCAACA